CAAGTATAAATCCCAATTCGTACATCATATCCACAAACAGGCCCTAGTGCTTGGTTCCATTCACATGGAAAAACAGCATTTTTTAAAAAGAAAATGCCACAGTGGAAGGCCACTCTTTGACCCATTTGTAGAATCACACCTGCTTTCCTCCCAGGTACTGTACATTCACTGTGCACGGTCTCAGGATCACAGCAGGGATTTTCAGATGGTAGATGGACTCCATCAACAAAGAAACATAATATACTTCCAGTCTTAAGCATTCTAGGTAACCACTGATCGTGGATTTGTGTGTCTTCCAGGGTACATCCTAGAGAAAGTAATCGCTACCGCAGCACTGTTGAGTCTCTTTCTTCCTACACAGTACAAACTTCAACATGTGTTTTTCCTTTTTAGCTCTAGTCAGAAAGAAGGTTATGAATGCACATTAATGTTTATTAAAGTAAACACTTACAGTAGTGCAAATACATATATCTAGCAGAAATGACAAATCTCTGTCCAGGTCAATTGTGAGATGTCAAGATACAGTAACTAAGATCTTTTCAGGATCAAACTGAAACAGAAAAAAGCCACATAAAATGGTCCCTGGCTGCCGTGATTAATGTGCAATGCAGAGATCACAAAGATTTGTGTTCTTTTTCACTGTTAGAATGCAAATTTAAAAAGCTTTTTATTTTTTCAATAAAAACAGCCACAATGGTGTACACATTCTTCCCATGGTCAATATAAAATCAAAAATGTTATTTCCTTTAAATAAAAAGAAATGTATACATAATTTCAACTGTATTCAATATATGCACCTAATGGAAAACAAACAAAATAGCTGCCAAATGCTGTAATATTGTCAGCTTATTAGGATATAGTTCATAGAGGTCATAGAGACATTATTACAAAGTGGTCTCAAGACAATATCTAATAGCAAACTGATGTATACACTCATAGTCAATAGTTTTTAACCCTTTCCAGGAAAATAACTTTCTTGAGCCCTGACAGCATTTCTCAGATCATACCTCATAAAATGATAAAATACAAAAATGAAGAGATTAGGAGTGCAAGAATAAAGAACTTCATTTTAAATATAATGCTAAAAAGTAAATAATACAGGAAATGCTTTGAATAATAAATCATCCTCAAAATAAATGAGTTCAGCACACACATGCAAATTCCAGAACTCAAAGCATTCTCAATAGGATGCTGAACAGAAACAACAATCTTTGTAATAATAAGATTTATTTTAAGTAGGATATTTGAAAGCAATCATTTCAAAGCTTACAATACATGAAAAGCACATAAATAAAAATTAAATTACAATTACAAAGGTACATAAGAAAACTCTAGCACAAAGGACAAAACAATCACAACAAAAAGCATTTGTAAAAAGTAAATCTCATTGTTAGATTTGAAAAATGCCCAATGTGGCCGATTCACAGAGTTCTTTGGGGATTGTGTGCCAGAGCTCTGAGTACAGATCGTAAAGTACAGACAAACAGTGTGCCCACAGAGTAGAGACACCAGCCAGATACTGAGGTGCCATACCATTCAGAGCCTTGAACATAAGCCTAAAGAGTTTAAAGAACTCGAAAGAGCACACTGATGCAAGGAATCCAGACATGTGCTTTGACGACTAATGCATGATTATGTCAACAATAGAGGGAGTCCTTACACATTTTCACAAGGATATACCGTAAAATATGAGGCATATTGGACACACTTGACCATCTAAAAGACAGGACATCTTACAGGATGTTGAAACAAAGTTTTTGAGTGGAGAGCAACACCAGGTTGTTTCAGTTGAACTTAGAATGAGAGAAGTCAACATTGTAAAAGAGCAATAAGATCCTCACAGTGTTATTAGGCCTGCTACAGAGAACCTAGTAAAATGAATGAAAGGCGGAAAAACAATCAATAAATAATTCCAGCAGATACAATGATGATCTATGAAACTATGCCCCGAATTTGCTTTATGAAAGCAAATCAGTTCCAATCAATGCTTGATGGAGGTCACAATGTACTTACTGTGCATGTGTGTTGTTCTGGCAGATAATATGGAACTATCGCTACATGTTGATGTTAGAGTCAAATGACCAGTGTGCCATGTACAGTACAAGGGAAAGGCAAGTTGATATTGGTTTAGTTTGCTTATGAAAGCTAACTCAAGACAGCCAAACATGGGTATTGCAGTGAAAGATACACAGACCCTAATTTACTGAAGAGGGAGAGACAACAAAGAAACAGTGCTATTGTGTGAGGAGAAGGATCTAGGGACCTTGAAACGGATATCTTTCTTTTAGACCACAGTCCAACAGGCTGTCCCAGCCTTCAGATTGGCAAAAGCGACTTCTCATACAGTGAAGAAATCCCCAGCAATAAAAGACTCTATCTGGTGAAGACTTCAATGCTGTCCAGGTTCCAAGGAGCGTACATTACTCTAACAGCACCCAGTATCCCCATCTACTGTCTCCTCTCATTGTATATTTTCATTGTGCACCTCTTGTGTATTTTTTAGATTGTTGTTCTTCTGTAAAGTGCTTTGAGAAGCTACCTTTAAAGGCACTATATAAAATAAAGTTTATTATTATTATTATCTTCCTGGATTAAACTCTTTTTTTTAAGTGGAAAGAAAAGATATTCTGTAATTATTATAAGCTGCATATTAATGACAATTTCCACAATGGTTTAGTGAGGTCAGCAGGAGATCTGAAGGTTGTGCGTTTGATATTTAACTTTAAAGAAGATTTTTTATATTTTTTTACCTAGCAGTTACATAGCACAAAAACTATGAAAAGGACAAACCGGATTTCCTATTATGGCTAGTTGCATTTGGAAGTTAGTGTTCCAAGATTTATTTTTCCTTGCATTTTAGCCATACAGGAGTAGCTTTTCAATTTATTTTTATGTACTTATTTATTTTTTAAGACAGCCAAATTTCCTGTCAAGGCATCCACCTACTAGACTGAAGGAATGCTGCATCTTTAAAACATAAGACAATGATAAAAAAGGCTCATTTCACCACTCCCACACAAAATACAGGAAAATAATGTAGGACAGAAATGATTGTATAAAACCATGATGGTGACCTACTGAAGTAGCTTTCTCTTTTCCACAGATTTTTCTCAGCTGGGGGAGAGAAACAGTCCTCCAAAACAAAGAATCAGAGACATTTGAACATGTTTACTTGATTCACTTCATTTTTTTTATCTGTTTTTTAAGTCATCATGAATTTAATTACCTAAATTGTATAATTTTGGGGGCGTAAATTGTATCTGTCAGGGTGAGACTTAGCATACATGAAAACATAAGAAAGGTTCAGCCCATGTTGTTCTTTTGGTTGCAAGCGGTTTACTGTATGAATCCAAGGATTTTGTCAGCTGTTTCTTGAGGGATCCCACAAAAAACTGTAACAATTAACAACATCTTTGGACAATTAGTTCCAAACCCCCACAAACCTGTGTAAAAAATGCATTCAGTCATACTTGTTCTCCCTCTTAGTTTCTCCTTGTGTCCTCGGGACCTTGTCTTACTATATTGGGTTTGGTTACTACCCAGAATTCCCTCTCTGGACATCTGGTTTCACAGTCAGTTAAGGTCTCAGGTGGAAAGAGTTGTGGTAGAGTGAAGTGAGAGATCTCAGCTTAAAAACAGCCAAGCAGGTGTCTGAGAGGTATTCTAGCCAAAAAGAAAAAAAAAACACTGAATAAGGGCCAGACTGAAGAAATGCTGTTTTAATGAAGCTGAGGTACTTTGTTTCAGGTTGTACTGTGCTGGTTTCATGACCTGATTGTCTATTGAAAATTTATTTTTACCATCATCAACTAAAAGAAAAAAAAAGGTAATCTGACATTTTGGTCCCTGAGGAACTAAAATAATCAGCCTAAGTAGAAAATACGCAAAATACACAATAGGACAGGTGAAATGATGTTCAGTTCTACAGGTGAAATGCTGCAAACAAACCAATGTCAACTACAATAATTTATTTTTCATAGAATAATCAATTAGAACACAATCAATTAGTTACTGCAATTTCAATTTATACAGTATGTACACTGTATAACCTGTACCAAATTAAATTACATGGTATTACTGTACAGTAAAAATCTAGAACTGTCAAACAGTATACAGTATGTTTTAATTTTAATAAGAAAAGTTCAAAGTTACAATGCATAAAATATTATTTTAAGAAGAACTTAAAAGATAAAGTATGCTGTAGTAATTTTTCTAAATGATCATCTTTGGGTTTAGGCTTGTCTAGCTGAGAAATTCCTTTCCTTTGTCTGATTGCATTAACATCCCTAATATACAGTATCTGAGGGACAGTATTTGCTCTATTCCCATCTCTAATATTGTGTCCAACTTGAAGATTGTGATTACTGCCCATATTGGTAATATCCTGATACAGTATGTATTACTATATTACAACATTTAATTTAAAGGGTTATATGAGTGACATTTTTATCATAAGATTATCAACTACAACATCAGATCTGGAAGAATTTTAAATCAGACTATAAAGCCATTGACCAGGTGGTAAAACATTTTATACCGTACCAACCAAATAAAAACAATACACTTCTCATGTAGGTCTGCAAAATATTTGCAAAATCGTGTTTTAAATGCTGACATTGTTACAGTACAGTATGTATCATCACAAGAAGCAGCACAGAATCACGGGAGACATATCACAACATATTCAGCAAGTAAAGATCCTATAGGATAACACACAAACCACTTTCCATCAATGGAGTGCTGTTTCTCCATCTAGATCATCTAAGCAAGTTTTGAACAAGAGAACAAAATGGAAATTGTTCAACCCTGAATGTATTCTTCCACAAGCTATCATATTTCTTTAAACAAAAGAACGTACAAGTTAAACCATTCCATTCTTGTCACTAGCCCCCAGTTCTCTAACCCCCCCCCCCCCCCCGCCCCCCCCCCCCCCCCTACCTCACACACACACACCCCCCCCCCCACACACACACACACCACTACCAAATAACAGCACTGACCTGCCCAGCTGGGGGTCTCCATGTATAGCAGGCTGTGCCGTGTGGTGTGACTCACTTCTGCTACAGGTAGCGCTGACCCCTGCAGATGAGATGATGTAATAGCATAAAAGCACAGTAGCTACTAAAGGCTGAATGCTCAGCATCTTTTAATCGATGATCTGTTTGTTAAAGAAGGAAACAAAAATAAATATTTAAATACTTCGAACCAACCCCGGCTGTGGAACAATTCCGTGTGATACAAAGGCAACTAAACTATAATTATTCTGCGGTATTTCTACTTTAATGTTACTCGTATTTCAGGTCTTCCTGCCTTGCTTCAGTCTTAAATCTTCATAGACATACTGCTAATTACTTCTGCATATTTAAGGAAAGGTAAGACAGTCTCAGGCCCATTATATTTGTCTTTAAAGATTTTTGCCCAAGGTGGAGTAGGAATTAGTTCTGATATTCATGGGATATAATATAACTATTTAAACAGATTCGTTTTTGACAAACAACTAAAAAATAATTAGAAATGTAAGAAATATTTTGGTTTTTCATCATGTTTTCCGGCAGGGCCTCCTTTGCTTTCATTTAATTTCTAAAAACGAACAACAAAATGTTGCTTTCTTTTTCATCAGCATCTGCAATGCCAAGCGAGCAAAGCAGGGTTTTGCAGGGTTTGTCTATTCAGTTACTAGAATGAGAACCCCATAACTTTTTAGCATTTACATTGATTTTTCTATGTGTACCACAGCACTACAACATATCAGTAAATTGTCTCCCTTTAATTAAAACATAGCTTTTTTTAAAAAACAATCTGCGCTTGAAGTTAATAAGCTATCGGAGACATTGTTGATCCCTTCGTTTAGTGTGAGATGTTTTATGATAGGTGCATCACAGTGCCCTGCTTCTGGATTATACACTAATTCCCTCAACCAGCCCCCCCTCACTAAATGACTTATTTTGTTGTGCTTCTGTAGTGTAACTAATCATTTTCTAATCAACTCTTCAGGCACCAGAAGCAGCCAGGCGCTTCCCTCTGAGCCAGTCTCCAGTGCACTCTAATTATGCAGATGGAGGCAGGAGCTCGTGAAGAGAGGGGAGAGGGTCCTGAAGGGCTTTGATAAGCTCAGGACAGCCAGCAGCTTTCCCCCCTGCTTCTCTTCACTCCAGCTGCGGTTTGCTGTTATTTCTGTACGGACAGAAGCACATGTTCAGATAACATACATACTGTACTCCACACTACACACCGTACTACACATATATACTAAGCCTACCCACATGCACCCCATTGACCTCTCCACGGCCACGCCCTGTCTTGCCCCTTCACCCCTACAACCTGTCCTGCTTTGTTCTTTTCACGGCACAATGATTCAGAAATACTTTTCACTTACTAAGGGGGGCCAAAATATGAGTGATCAGACCCCACAGGATTGGGAAAAGGTATACTTCAAGATGAACTCCCTCTTTTGGAGATCTCTAGCTCACTAAACTTAGATAATTTGCTTTTTGTTTAAAACAAGTGCAAATTAGTTGTTACTCTTACTGCAATAATACATATTACTGTAATTAATAAATACATAATGAAAATGTATGTCTTTGTTTACTGTATATATCTTATTTTTAACACAAATTTTAAGACTTTGTTAAAAATAGTATAGCCAGTAGCCATGAGCCAGCTACCATACCTACAAATTTTAAAGTCTGTGGCATTCTTTCTTTAGCAGCTGCATCACTTAACACAGAACCTTAATTTTATCTAAGGACCAAAGAGCATACCGCATCCTAAGAGTTTAAATGATGTGCTTAGGCAACCTGCAGCCAATCAGAACTTGGAAGCACCTGGCGATAAGTCCTTTCTTGAATTGCTGGACATCCTAACTGCCTTCGCGTAGTTATAAGATATAGTAAAGGCGAAACAACATTGGAATTCAGTGCTTCAAATCAGCAACAGAAGAGGGGAAACACAGGGGAACGTGCTAAATTAAAAAGGAATAAATGACTAAAAGACTGATGATATCATAGTTCTCTATGAGAACCAACAAAAGCTGTAATTTGTGAGCCTGCAGCACTGACATTTGCTCTGTTTTTTTGTAAAACCATTATATCTATAGATCAGTTTAATGTGAACTATTTTAGTTACGTGTTTATGGCAATGCTTTTATGAACTGTTTTTAAAATTATTGTGCAGGATGCATTTTTAATCATAATGACTGCAATTTTAGCAATAATGTGGTTATAATTAGGATCGTAAAGAAAGAATTGTTTGCACTGTACACTGCATGGTCTCTCTTGGGTTTAGTAACAGTACTGTAGCTGTTCACATTTTTTTGCAGGATTGTCATTTTTTTTCCTTTCAAATCCCATGGTGTTTTGAATTCCCAACTTGGTAAAATTATGCTTACTACTGTATATCAAAACAACTGGGAATATGCCTTTTACAAGCAAGTATGTAAAATAATAAATGAGGCAATCGAAAGAAAAACTTAACATCATACAGCCAAGTTATTTTGAGATGACCTATGGTCCATCAAATCTCCACCATATTCTGTAAATGGAAAGGTTGTGTGGGTTGTCAGGTTCTCCAACATAAAGAGTGTGCACTCTGTGCGTGAGTTTATGTGTGTAGTGTAGCAAATGACCTGCCCTTTGTGTGCTTAGCCCAAACCTGGCACTAACCCAGAACTCAAATCTCTGAACCACAGAGAGCTTATTGATTTTTTTACCCACAGAAATCATATCTCCCACTTCTTCTCTCTTTCACTCCCCTCCTTCCTTTAATTAATTGTGATCCCATGGTTCTTGGTATTTTTTGGGAGCTGTGCCAATACAATTTGTCATTTTATCAGAAGTAATTAAAAGCTGTTCTTTTGCCTGTTGCATGCGATCTGTTTAATTGTCGAAACTAAAAGAAAAACACTGCCAAGTAACACAACACAGGGAACAAAACATATAAAAAGTCTTTTTAAAGCCTTAATTCTGTAACAAGATAACAGTTTAAACAGTTAGCTCTTTTGTACTTACTTAATAATCCACCACTAAATGACAGTTGTTTTTCTAACATTCTAGAGACAATACAGTATATAGTGATTTAAATATCCAGCTTCAATGCCTGTGTGTTTTCCCTTCTCAATACTAGTTCTAATGGTAAAAACAGATATTTTGCATTTCTGTCTATGTGGTTATTTTAGCAGTTTCCAGAGCAGCACAGCTACTGATATCAACAACATGTTTTATTTGTTTAAACAAAGTGTATGTTTTTTGTATGTATCTGTGTGTGTAAAACATGGAGGAGGATTGGAGGCAAAACATACAAATCATACAAAGTATTATCATAATGTATAATTTCGTATAATGTATAAAAAATCCTTATAGCATGAAAAACTAATGTTATGAAATGAAGTGGTAAATTCTTATGAGCAGATGTCTGTTGAAGGCCTTTCTCTTGAGATTTTGGGGGCCTTCTGGACAAAAAGATTCAGCAACAAATCTTATGCCAGCAGTGCTCTAACATGACTACATTGCTTTTCTGTACATCTGCAGTTCAAAATGGGAAAGGGTTAAGTACTGTAGGAGGTGGGAGGTTTATAAGGCACTCAGAATTATCTAAAGAGTCCCTTGACCCTTACCTTCAGAGGACTGCAGGGTGACTGACGCTGATTTGATTAAACTCACACTAATTCATCACAAGCTTAATCAAATAAAATTTAATAACTCTGTAATAAAATTTCAACAGTCTCTCAAGAACTCTAGGCAGGGTATAAATAGCAGAATTAGTGGCTACAGGTTCTTTTGCCAGACAGGTGTTTCATGGCAGACAGAAGCAACATTGTACTATTTAAGAATATTTCTTTAGTGTAATATAGCAAATTAATAAAGTGCCATGCAGTTTCAAATACAACTTTGGTTGGAAAAACAAATTCATTAAAAAAAACTCAGATGGCAATACATACAAAGTAACAGTACAGAGTATCCTGTATATGAAAGAATATCACAGACAAAAACAAAAAGGATAAAAAGAGTACCGTACATCACAAACAATTAAAAAAAAATCAAATACCATAAGTAAAAAGTTTGGAACTGAGAAAATAGTCACAGGCTCAAAAAAGCAATTAAATTCTGCAGTAAGATTTTTACACAGGTTTTGTGCATAGACGTTTACACATAATATGCAACTTGTTTCTAGGGATAGACAGTAGATCAGCATCAATTTAATTAGTAGAGTAGGTACAGTACAGTACTGTATATAAGGACTGCAGATTCACAACAAATTTATCAGTAAAGTACTTCCAGACCACTTAGTGAATTGTCAGTTAACAGTGACAATTTATTTTAAGGAACAGGTAAAGGTTTATTCCATGCTGAAAAGAGAAGAAAGGAAACACAACGTTTTGGCTCGAGAGTCGTCTTCAGGTGTAATTCCACACCTGTGACTTGAACAATTTCTTTTAAACTGAGAATTTTGTGAAAACATTTGTATACTCAAATTACAAAGACATCCACTGAAGACACTGAAAACGATTGTGTGCTACTAGGCTAAGAGTAATGAAGGCTCAAGATTGGAGAAATATGTCAAATGCAAAGGTGTAAAATTACACTGGAAAAGTTACATGGTAGAATCTAGAATAAACATTTATCCTCTAAAATTGAAGCCAGTAAGGCAAAACTGAGGAGACGTGTGATAAGCAAACAGAAAAGAGTGATTTTACTTTATAATACTGCAATTGATTATGGGTCCCTGCAGCTTTGTAACCTACTTTAGCAATGATAACGCCCAGCTTTGCCTCATAAGAGATTTAATCTCTAGTCTACAGTTTTGAATATTGTCTTTATAATATTCTTTACCAATAGCTTAAGCATTCCTTTGAAGACTGCAGATGGACACACAGGAGGCAAAGAATTACATTGCTCTTTGAAAAAAAAACATAAACTCACCATGGAAAAGATCCAAGAGGTTTTGAGATTCATTGCTTATGCCAAAAAAGGGAAATGCTCCGAATGTTTAATTGAACTTTTTTTCATTTACATTACTATTCTTCATAAAACTTCGCTTACCTATTTGTTTTATATTTATGGATATTAATGCTGTAATAACGC